TGCTTTTATACTACAAATCTATCACTAAAATAAATGGACCTATCATGTTGAGCCATGTGTAAAAAAAAATCTATGCTTATATTATGTATAATATAATAATAACAGTAAACTAGTTATGGGAAATCAATGCTTATATAATAATAAACTAGTTATATCGGAATATTTCATCCAACGGTAAAAGAATAAAGTACATCCACCAATAATGGTAACTTCTAAATTACTGCAATTTGGGCAGGATGTTCATTATGTAGGTGTAGAAAAAAATCTTTCATTAGATTAATGGAAACTAGCATTTGATCTTATACATTTGTACAAATAAAAAATACGTTTATTTGTATTTATTAATTAGACATGTACTTTTATCATATAAAAATTATTACTTTTTCTTAAGATATTTTTATCATTCAAAATTAATTTAGATTTAAATTTTATTTTAACCATGCAACGATTACATTAGTAACATGAATAAAATAATTTATATATTTGTGGCATATATTAAAAAAATTAACATAAATAAAAAAATATTGGTGTTTCTGATTTATAGAAAAAAAAAAAATATATGTCAATCATATTTTTCTTTCAACAATGCAAAGCGGTCACAGCTCTGAATGTATCAATCTAACCTAATCACATTTTCCCTTTCTCTCACACAGAAGACAACACTTAAACGCAGACACGCACACTGTTCGCAAAATATTTTCACTATCCGCAAGTGTACGGTATAGCTGTAGTGAGTGGCGAGCAAGGTCGTATTCCACAGAGATTGTTGTCAAAATTAACTAAGTATCAAAATGTAAACGATTAAATATTATTTAGTCTAATGCAAATTTGAATGGTGATTTTATTCTAAACTAATGAATGATTGCAAAATAAATTCTAACACTAATGAAGGCTTGTCCTAAGATAAATCGAGAATGAGAAAATAGATTCTAGACTATGCTTTCCTCGGGATTATTCTAACAAAGATTAATTATTCATTCAAACCTTATTTAATTCTACCATTCGTAGGGATAATCACTAAAGTAATTTACACCTTTCTCTCGAACAAGTTAAATCGTAGATATTAACTGTTATCTATCTCCTCTCGGTCTCAAGATGAACAATCAACTCCCATA